GATGGAGAGCCAATAAGATACAAACCAACGTTGTCCCCAAAATGATGTTTTCCTAATATTGAAAGAATAAGTGGCCCAACAACGGCTCAATAATATCCATTCGTTGGTCCGACAATAAGCCAACAAGTTGGTTTGATTAAGGGCGGATGAGCAAATTACCCTTGGCCCAACATTAATTGCTTACAATGGCCCGATTGTATAAAAATGACGTTTGCCAAATATTGAAATAAAACATTGGCGCAACAGTGGCCCAACATTAACTGTTACATCGGCCCAACAATAAGCCAACGTTGTTTGATTAAGGGCCGATGAGCAAATTACCGATGGCCCAATGTTGAATGCAAACGGTGGCCCAACATAAGGAGCATTGTTGGCCCAACACAGGTCCAATCGCATCCTGCTATCTGGGTGTACTGATGATCTATTGGTTCCTTGGATTACGACTTTTCCATTTAAAACATGATATTTTCGCTGAAATATTCACAGGACACGCAATAAATTTTCATCTGGATTTGACATAAACTTCATCATGTTCATTGTCCATCACGTTTCCATGCTTACACGTTGCACACACTAGGGCTATTCCACCTTCTGAAATCGCATCACAAAAAGGATAAAGCATATCGCATTGTTAGCTGCAATCAATATCAAAAAACAATATTACGATTACTTCGCAAGATGAAGATTTACTTCCAACTTCCACTGTGTCGCCATTTTGTTTCTTTACGATTGCAGTACGACAAAACGAAATTCGTTAAAAATCGCTAATTTTTTCGGTAAAAAGTGAAAACAAATAAAGGAAAGTTATTTAATACAAATTGCAAATAAAAATTACCCCAAAAATTATTTTTAATGGCTTAAAATAGCGATGCTGTTTTTGAATTATCCACTTCCGGCAGGATAATCCTACTTCCGGTAGCATTACTAGCATTAACCTAGTTTCAAACCAGCATCAGGATAAAGATAACTAGTATCAAAATGAGCAAGCAAAGGAAGCATCAAAACCAGCAAGCAAAGGAAGCATCAAAATCAGCATTGATGCTGTAACAAAATTATTTCCCTGCACTATACGTATGTGTATGCCCTTGCGAGAAAATGATTTAATGAGGCATTTCGATGTAAAATATACCTTACATGTACATAAAAACACAACAAAATTAATTAAATACATTCTCTTGATAGTTAATGACTAATCGCACTAAACAAAGGATATTCATTTGTATTAATGGCTATTTGAAACCTCTAGTTAATATTCTGTTTGATAATAAAACGCATTTTTCATTGTCGAAAAAAATCTTAAAATGCCTCTCATAGCACATAAAATACGTTTTTTTTTAAATCAAAATGATGTCATGTTGACAAGTTCATCGCAATCAGTGATTTGTTCAAAACCAGCTGCATGGGATTAAACTAGAAGTTTGCTTTTATGGATTGATAATTTTTATTGTTGTTTATAATGCTAATACAGTTTCAAGTTGAAATTATTTCATTTTCTAGTATTATGAGGAATACATAGAAGTCATATTTTGTGTGACGTCACAGTAAACTTTTTCCGTATAAATTAGGCTCCGCCCCTTTTTTCAGCCTTAACAATGCCTCGTATTTTACATATCAAATATTAACCGCTGTTTTCCATAAAAACTGTTAAATCATTTGCTACCTATTATTTCATTCACCCAATCAAAACAAAGAGCGCGTGTGGCTTTTGGATAGGAAAAACTTGCTCATCCATGATACCGGATCCTACCTCTGATATATTTCGATTGTCGTATTTTCTCCACCAAGTTCCAAGTATAGGCAAAATTAACATATTTCCACTGTTTGAGTTAAATTGTCTCGAAATGTACGCTTCACAACCATTAAAACACAAATAAAACTTAATGTGTCTATGATATGAAAGTTCTTCTTTGTTTCAGTTCAAGCTAAATGAATATTTCTTTTGCATGTGTTGCATTACAAATTTATGACTGTTTTCCATTTCTTCTGATAAGCTGCTATTTTCAAAATGGATGTTTTTTCTCACATAGAAATTGGTATTGATTGTCACAAATCTCATCATACCAGTTTCCGGCGGGGAAAATACCGGGTAATTGCCAAACAGTCCTCGTTGTCTTCATGATTATTTGGTTCATTCTCTCGCCAGTTTGTATAGTTAAGTTCTTTCTTGCTATTATTCCAGATAAATGAGTGTTCATTTCCAAAGACAGTACCTCCTGTCCAAATACCATTCACAGATGAGATTTCTGATGAAAGGCTAACAAGATAATTATAACAATTACTATTATGTTCATTGAAAAATCTGAGTGTATCGGCGTTGTAGAGTGAGACTTCCTCCCATAGTCAGACCCCCCCCCCCCCCCCGAAATTCATGCTCTGGAATAAATTGGAACTTATGACAGAAGTTATGCCCTAGAGTAAGACTTCCGCAAGGACGAATTCTGACTGCAAATGATTTAGTTTCATTTGTATTAAATGTGAAATATACTTTGTCAGCAATATTGCATCTTACCATCTGATAAATATCTCAAAGACGAAAAGAGTTTTTAAAGCGAAACCTTCTTCCAACCTAATGAATGTCAGTATATTTTTTGCATTAAGATATTCGTTTTATCTAATAGTTGTTTATTATATATTAGAAGCGTAACTGTTTCTTATAACTGTTGAGATAAGTGGACTTAAATAACATCAAATAACATTTTGAAAAAAAAAAATCATTATAGATATAAGATATTCCTATCCTATGCGAACAACTTTCTAAATTCTGCTCAGATAAAAGTAGTAAACAAATAAAATCACCAAATGACTTATATACATATGCAAATTCTTCAGTGTATTTATGTGTACATACTTAATACTACTATAATTCAGTGTATTTATATGTACATCCCCAATACTACTATTATGCAGTGTAGTTATATGTACATACCTAATACTACTATTTTTCAGTGTATTTATATGTACATACCTAATACTATTATTTTTCGAATCCATTCATCCTCCCCTATCGTCTCGATCTCTACCAAGTCAGATCCAAGACTGTGACATTGTAGCTGAATGATAAGAAAGGTCGACAGTCAAAGGTAAAAGTAAAAAAATGTATTATAGTCATACAAATAAGATCCAAGACCCTGACATTGTAGCTGAATGATCAGAAAGGTTGACAGTCAAATGTAAAAGTAAAAAATGTCTTATAGTCCTACAAATAAGATCCAAGACCCTGACATTGTAGCTGAATGATAAGAAAGGTCGACAGTCATAAAACAATGTAAGGTATGCCCTTGCACCGAAGCGATTTTGTTAATGTTTCTCATAAACTTGTGTAGTAGAGGTCGATGACGTCATTATTTGACGTCATAATGTGTATTGGCTATCGCATTTCATGGGTACCAAGAATGTATTTGAAAACAAGTCTTAACATTTTCTGCGCGGTAGGTAGAGCAATTATGGAATTTAATTAGATATTTTGCATACAAACCTGCGTATGTAGCCTTAACTCACATGCGGCGGCAAAGTTTCGAGCCAACGACCTCCCGATATCGAAGGGAGCGCTCTACCAACAGAGCTACTGTGAATGGTAAAAAAATGAGAAACCTGTCAATTAAGTGTATATTAAATTGTTAAATACTATTCATATAAAATTTTAAGGAATTTTCTCAGTACATAACTATATGAAGTAAAATGACTATTCAAAATATTAATTTAACTTCCATAGCTACCCGATATGTATTTGCATTCAAATTGAACATACATGCTTAAATAATTAATTTAAAGTATTTTTTTAAAGTAATTTGGTGGCTTTTTAGTCATGCATGGTTTGTTTTACTATGTAGCGTAGTGTAAGAATAATTATTCAACGTTTAGTGTATATCAAATTTGGGTCCGAAAAAATGAAATTATAAATCAATAAATTGAAGGAAAAAAAAAACTTTCAACACTAAGAAAACACTTGTTTTCTGATGACATTGGGGCAATCTAAAACACAAACAAACAAATAAACAACTATCTGATCATAAAGCTTCCTGGAATATCGTAGATTTAATCGCAAATTTGTTAAAATTGTTTTCCCCGTGATAGGTTGGGACCACCACAAGCATTTGTTTTATTTTGGAATACATAAGAATAATCTTTTAAAGAGGAATAGCAATTTCAGCAAGCAAGAGGTTCACGTGATTTACTTTTGCATTGGCGCCGAGTAATCTTTTGCATTCATTATTAAAATAATATCTGTGATATCCGTAGTGGTCGTTAATTGTTAAGAAGAAATCTACGCTTAGACAATAAAGGAGAACACGCAACAATTAAATATTTATCATTCCATTAAAACCTATTGATTCTACGTATAAAACAATGTTAATCTCCTCTATTAGCGATCAATTTATAATTCTTAAAATCGAAGCAGGAATTAAAATAGGTCGTCTGTTAAAAATAAGCTAATAGAATGGAAATTCTTGTGGAATTGGAATTTTTACTGCTATCAAATAAGGAAAAAATGGATTTTTTTTCGAATGACAAAAGTTAATGTTTAGTCAAATGGAATGCAATGGGGAAAAATGAAATAGTGGTATTTTGACTGAGGAATGAAATTGATGCATACAGATTGAAGTGAATTTTACGAATTCTTGGGATATGTTTACTTCTTTTTAATTCGTAGTTACGGTCAAGAATAGTTCGTTAACAAATTAATATATGTACAATATGGTCTCAGTTTAACTGAAATCCGAACTAGCATGTTAAAAAAAGACCTTTGGGCGTAATTTGTAATAGTCGAATTATAAAAGGACAATTCTTCAAGGCTCTTACACTACTTGTAAGAGTAAAAAACAAAAAAAAAAGAAATTTAAGTAACGTCAAGGCATGTAGATTGAAAGGGCTAGGAGCTGCAAGAGCTAAACCGGTCCCATCTTTGAAATTAGAATATATCACAATTAACGCTATTTTGGCATATGTACGAGATGGAGACTCCTGATCAATCAGCAGACGAGCGAGATGAATGGCGGCTACTTATACCGGAAATTGAGCAGAAATGAACTCTTCAGCCCTGGTAAACGACTAAAAATTTCAAAAAACTTATGATACTGCTATTAAATAACTTTTGAACTGATAGAATCAGAAATATGTTAAATAAAAATTACCGAGACATTAATATTGCTCTCGTCCCTTCACAGTTTATGTTAAATACACAAGATATCTTTCAACTGCAATATTTGACAAAAATAAATTTCTTTGATTTGAATATTCGCATGTAGTTTATTTGTTTCAAAAAGATTTTTTTTTCAAACATCACATTGTAGTTTTTTTTTTTTTTTTTTAAAAAATAACACTAATTACATAACCTGGTATAACAGAATTAGTAAAACTGATCTTCATGTACTGTTGTCCTGTTCTATAATTGTCAGCTGTGTAGTGTGGCTTCAAACCAGTTACAGCTTTGAAATCCATAATACATTTATCCAATAGTATACAGTTATAAAAATCTGCCATGATTACTTGTCAATGAATTTAGATCGAATAATTTATTGATAAACATGATAAATGTGCATTATCATTGATTTCCAGACAATGAATGAAACATATCAATACGTTCAGTTCATTTTTTTTTTCAAATGTTCAAACATGTAATACTTTTTGGCTTGCATCAGAACCTTATATGTATTTGTAAGTCGTACATGTACTTTCGATAACATAATATAACATGTTATACTATATGCAACTGGGTTTCTAAGAAACATATTTTCAAAAAAGTGTGATTCCACATCTGCAAGGCATGATTGATATATTATATGTTGTTTAACGCCCCTCTCGAAATTTTTTCACTCATATGGAGACGCCACCAATTGCCCTAATCACTGCGCCACGCGGGCAACCATTAGCTCCGAAAAATGGACTCAGCGATTCTTTCAAAGCAATATTACACTCAACGTGACCATTTCATTCATTCAATCTTTAAGCTTGATTAATTTTACCTTAATCATAATTTACTAAATGTAATGATAACATTGAAAACTATCAGTTAATGTGATATCTGCATAAGTTGACATGAAGCAGATATAATTAACTATATAACTGGTTGTACTTTTGAGCATCGATAAGTTCTCTTACTTATGCAGCAATATACCTGCATCGCCTGAATAGACAGTAGAGTTATAGGGTGTCTAATTGAGATATCGATGAATTCATAAAATAAAAAATACATTCGTTATTAAGATTGGCGATTGTTTTAAAACACTACTGATATCAGAAAAATGTAATGTGGTTTAAATCTACATATCATAAATCTTCACATATTTTCGACTTGTCACATGCTAACAGAGTAACAATGCTTTTGTTAATTACCTTTCAGTATTGACTATTGAGGTCATTATAGATACCAATATTAAAAAAGCAGAACCAAATTAAAAATCTTAGTTTTATTTAAATTGCTTTTCAATACAATACATTGTATGTAGTTCTTGAAAAGTCCTGGGCACCTATATATTCCCTTATATTCTAATGCAATGCAAACAAATTTTAGACCCTAGGTTGAATATTTTACTGGTCAATTACATTAAATATAAGAAAAGAGCAAGAGCCATCTTATGCACAAAATGGCCCTGTACTTATATCAATTAATTAACTATCACCCTCTTTCCCATTTCATATATCAAAATAAAGTAGACACTTGGTGCTTTCATTTTCTATAATAAAATTTCGTTTTGAGAATCCAGATATTGGAAAACAGGTTTGAGAAATTGCAATGTTCTTGAATTTTGCAGAAAACATGCGTATTTAACTACCTTCAGCAAAGAATTAAAATATGAGCACAGCCCACGATCCAAAAAATAAAACATGCTTTTTGATCTTCAAAAACAGAGCTTTCATTATGTATTTACATATTTTGGATCAGTAGCTGTGCTCTATATGAAATATTGAAAAAATGCTTCAACTTTTGGTCATTTTCAAAGGAATTTAAAGGATATGAGAAAATGACACATTTTATGATGTCATAATGCATTGACTATAGGGAAAACTACGTTATGATCAATAGATACAGTACGTGGTCACCAACACTCCAAATGATAAATACTGTATTTGCAACCTAAACTGAACGGTTTTGATTTTTCAGAAATCCTCAAGGCCAAATTAGGCCCATCTTGGCTCTTGCTCTTTTTTACATTTCAAAGATTTCACAAAGTTTGCACCCCTTTCTCATTATGTTAATCTAAATAAAAAAATAAGGTTTGCATCACCTTTCAATTATGTTATTTTTTCTTGAGTTTATATGAAAAAAAAAATGATTCATTGAGGGTATGTTATAAATAGATTTATAATGACCCTTCTATTATATGAATCTGCATACAAATATATGACAGTATCACTTGTCTAGAGAATATACGGACACTATGTGAATAAAATAGTAAAATATATATAGCATCCAATTTATCAACCTTTTATATATACACATTTATATATGTGTAAATGATATTTTATTTCAAAACAAAAGACATTTATTTTTGACAAATATAGCTTTATCAGCCTCTTATTGCATACAAACTGTGTAAACTCCTGCTACTTGATGTAACATCGACCAATGAATCGTTTATATCTTGCAGTATGGGATTTAACAAACCAAAAAAACTGTGTGTAAAAATAAGTTTTGATGTACGTTAAATATGAACGAAACCTGATACTTTCTCATTTTCATACCTTTTGAATGTCAGTAGCCATTTGTTGTTTGTGATAATCGGGTTAAAAAGGGAACAATTGCCTAACTTTCTATCAGCATCAGGCAAAGCTTTTGGTACTAAGTCCGACAAAATTTATGTAACCCTCGAATCCAGTCAATAAAATGTATAATATATATAAGATCATCTTCGCTAGCCAAGGGTTTCTAATACGCTACTCTCCTTATAAACCCTTGGCATACGATGAAGTCAAAAAACGGTACGCAGGTATGTTAAGGAAGCATATACGTCATTTCTCGGGAAATTTAGACTTTTTAAAGAAAATTAAGTTTGATTTATTACCAAAACCGCCGATAAACGTAAAATGTTATTAACTATTGCAAACAGATAAAAGAGTGTCTAACGCAAAGAAGTACATCGCCGCCACGACATCACGTGACTTCTATTAATAGGGAAATTTTCCTTAATAAAAAGGCTAACAGAACAACAATACGCCGGAGTTTAATACCTTCTTTGAGTAAATAATATAGTTGAAAAACATCTAATTTGCCTAAAAAGTGCTGCTAGAATTCCACTGTCCTGTCAATAAAATAATTATTCCATATATACACACGAAACCTTACCCCATGTTTTGCATTTTATACATATGAACCGAGATTTTTCGTAAAACAATGTTCAATTCGGGATTCTAGCAGCACTTTCCAAGTTTGTCAGAGGGCAAACTTTCCATCTGTACAAAAGTGGAAGCTTGATCCTCCATGACACCTGATCCAAATTCTGATATATTTAGGAGGTTTTTTCTGCTACCAGGGTTTTTTTTTTAGATGAGTAATGTTCGATATATTTATATTTTTTATCATTTTTATCTTTTTCGGATAGTATTTGTTTCACAATGGTTGTCTGAAATACAGACACTTCCAGTATTCTTTTTTGTTGGCAGTGTATATGGTGGTGATGCATGTGATGGCAGTTCATATGGTTGGTTGTCTTACGGTAGGAACTCATCAGCCCTTGTCCTACAAAAATGGATTACTGTACAAAAAAAAATCAACCAAAATTACAAATATTTAGATGTTTAATGATTATAAATTGACAAGACATATCTAAATTTATTTAAATACATCGGGATTGTCCAAACAATTCCCAACAAATATGTAAGTCTGTGGCAAATAATTCGTTAAAAAAGTAAAATTAAGAACAGATGATACAAACAGACATGTTGAAAAAAGTGAAAATAACAACCTGGGTCATGTTTAAACGAGTAAAATGATGTTTCACCGCGTAGTTTTTAAATTTTTTATTCAAAATTTCACAAAAATGGGATTAAAGGTGAGAAATATTAGTATAGATTAATGAGGATGGTTTCAGAAGGGTAGACTTTTGAACCTCACAGAGGGATTACAATTTCTTTATATTCTAGAAATTTGTTATTGGTATCATTAGCAATGAAATTATACGAAGAAATATATACTGATCCAGACATCCATTTTATGGTTGTATCATCTGTCCTTAAATGATAGTACATGTATGGCACTGACAACATCTAAACTGTAGCAGAAAATTAAATAACGATTTATAAAGTGAAAAAACACCTACAAATATAGCGAAAATTACCCAAAAGCATTGAATAAAAAACCACAAACAAAGACATTTAGATGACATTAGTCTCAAGTACTAGAAATGATTAATTTCACGCGATAATTGCAACAATGTCAAATATATTCAAATTGAGAACTATTCTTGTACATATATTTTTTTTAATCTAGGAAACAAGCACTGGCACCAAACTTTGTATGGAGAATTAAAAAAAAAAAACAATATATCTAGAAATTCTCCAGAATTATTGTGTCACTTTAAACTTAACATGTCACAAAGTAGTCTTGAAACAATATTTAAATTGACAGACGATACATCTTTTTCGTAACTGAATTATAATGCATAATGTTTCCGTAAACTACAACATCATTAGCATGGTTCGTAAGTTTAAATTACTGGTTTAAAAAATATTTATTTTTGACTGTGTACTTCCATAAATCCCAACTTTATTTTGAAATCTACTTGTTGTTATGAACTAGATTCGTGAATGAAGGAGGTGATCCTTACGTCTTGGGTTCGAATCCCACAGTAGAGAAAAACCGACATCTTATTAACGAACGTAACTCGCCCTAACTTCCCGTATCTCGATAGTTTTCTCGGGACCAGTGATTGCACCAATATAAAGTTTAAAATCGGAAAAAAATAAGTACATGTGTACAATAGAATGGATAGTGCTTTAACCAATTTGTAATTGAAAATCGCTCATGTCAAATTTATTTTAATCACTAACAATGTTTTAAAAAGCAAACAAATAGAAGAAAATACACCATAATACTTTAGACGGATTAGGAA